CCATTCTGACTGGTGTGAGGTGGTATCTCATTGTGGTTTTGATTTGGATTTCCCTGATGCCAAGTGATGTTGAGCACTTTTTCATGTGTCTGTTGGCCATTTGGATGTCTTCTTTGCAGAAATGTCAGAGACACAACTCTTGCCTGTATCTTGATATGTGTTTATTTACATTTGAGAACACCTAGAAATACACAGAAACACAGGAGCTCTGTGTGTGTGTGTGTGTGTGTGCGCGCGCACACGCGCACGTGCTTGGACCTACCCATGTGTGGAAAATTACCCATCTGTGAAATATAAATTAGGACTTACTATAAGGTACAAAATGCCTATACAGATGATAAAATTAGCCAAAGCCACTTTCCTTACATTTATCTCTATAAAGGTAGGCTCTTTTTTGAAGTGCCATCAATAGTTATACAAATGAAGCTTTAAAACTTCGGAAGTATTCCATTGAGATAATATGTAATGTTCCCAGCATAGAATCTGTGCTCAGAAAGTTCTCTGTTGAAAGCTGTGAGTTTTAAAAATTTACTGAATGAATTTACAAATGATTGGAAGCATGTCTCATACCCTTCATTGATTCCAGATACTACCTAGATGAGATGGTATCCTCTCTTGGGAAGCTCCCACCAGGGAATTTGTAGTTGGGTGTTGGTCAAGCTCATTGGTATTTAAAAAAAAAAAAAAAAAAGCCAGTTTCTGCTTTTGTACAAAATAACCAATTTTGTACAATACAGTTTCATCCCTGACCGGCATTTTACCTGCTTTATATTGGTGCTTTGATCTTGTCAGTGCATTTAATTTCTCTGTGCTTCGGTTCTAATAACCAGACTGATACTGAACACGTATCTTTCCCAAGGGGGTAATTGTGAGTATTAATTACTTTGCAAAATGCCTTTTGAACTGCTCAGATGAAAGGCCCCATATAAAAAGCAAATGTTATTTGTGTTGTTGTTGATGACGATCTCATTATGGGTATTTCAGCTACCGGCTACTGTTTTTTAAGACACTGAGACTTAGATTTTAGAATTTTAAGATGTTTCCTTTCGAGATAGAATGTAACCAGGTATTTAATAGCCAGAAATGTTTTGGTTGTTCTCCCAAGGAATAATTCCTCTTAGGTGGTAGAATTCTGGGAAAATGATCACTGTTTTACATAGAATGCTTCTGACTTGTTGATATCTGTATAAAATTATCCAAGAAATTCTCAAGGTTCAAAATACCCAGATGCTGGGGCACCTGGGTGGCTCAGTCGGTTAAGCGTCTGCCTTTGGCTCAGGTCATGATCCCAGGGTCCTGGGATCGAGCCCCACATCAGGCTCCCTGCTCAGCAGGAAGCCTGCTTCTCCCTCTCCCACTCCCCCTGCTTGTGTTCCCTCTCTCGCTGTCTCTCTCTGTCAAATAAATAAATAAATAAAATCTTTTAAAAAAACAACAAAAAAACCCCCCAAAAAACAAAATACCCAGATGCTAGGAATAATGCTAATTTTAAAACTGACTTACCAGCCTCTGAGGAGATTGCTGGTTTTTCACTGCCAGTGGGCTGATCGTATTATTTTTAACTTTTCTTTAGACCCAATTGATCTCACCCAAGGACAGTGCCCGCCCCCCTGTCGCCCCCGCCCCTCAGACACAAGGGACATTTGTCAGTGTCTGACATTTTCGGTTGCCACAATTTGGGGCAGAGCACAGGGATAGTGGTAAACATTTTACAATGTACAGGACAGCTCTCTACAACAAAGAATTATCTAGCCCAAAATGTCAACAGTGCCAAAGTTGAGACCCTCTTTCGGACCACGTTCGTTACAGAACTTCCTTAATCCGTCTTCAACAACCACAGTTTCTCCTAGGTATGTTGCGTATTATTATTCTTAATCCCTCCTGGATCTCTTTACAGGTTGGCATTGTGGGAAGAACAGGAGCTGGAAAAAGTTCCCTCATCTCAGCGCTTTTTAGATTGTCAGAACCGGAAGGTAAAATTTGGATTGATAAGATCTTGACAACTGAAATTGGGCTTCACGATCTAAGGAAGAAAATGTCCATCATACCTCAGGTATACAAGTCAGGGCACTGTCGTGTGTTCTTCTTATAAGGGAACTTAAGTTTAATTGCTTTTAATTTTATTGCTTTTTTAAAAGAAAAAATGAAGGGTTGATCCTTTTGCCGCAATAGAGTATATTTTTAACAGCAAGTATTTTTATCTGATACCAGGTTGTGTGTGTGTGTGTGTGTGTGTGTGTGTTAGATTTAATAACTTACCAGAGAAATTTCTGGAATCAGACTTCCCCAGGTACCACAGTTTTATCCACTGATAAACACCTAATTCTGAAAAGAAAATGACGAATGATTTGTTTAGCACTTGAGAGGCTTCTATAGGGAAATATGGGTTTTAAGTGTTTTAATGATACAATTTTGCTGTAGGAAATAAAGCTAACTTTTCAAAGGTAATTGTCTCGGAGGGCTTGCTATGAAACTGCTGGGCTTTGAGCATCACTGTGCGTATAGATGCTTTGGGGAGACTTAGAAGCTGGCCATTAGTAAATGAACTGTGACCAGGAGGCAGTAGAGAATACTGAGAAGAGCACACGAGAAGGAGTGCCGTCTCTCTGGACCTCAGGTTTCTCCCCCTCACGAGGCAGCTCCTAGTACCATCGCCCAGAGCTGTTGTGAGGCCTGGCTCAGTGCGTGTGGAGTGCTTCTCCTGACCCAGCACCTGATTCTGTTTTCTTATCCTGCTTCTTAATAGAAGTGTGACTTTCTTTTCTTTTTTTTTTTTTTTAAAGACTTTATTTATTTATTTGACAGAGAGGGAACACAAGCAGGGGGAGTGGGAGAGGGAGCCCGATGTGGGGCTCGATCCCAGGACCCTGGGACCTTGACCTGAGCCGGAAGGCAGACGCTTAACGACTGAGCCACCCAGGTGCCCCAGAAGTGTGACTTTCAGGAAACGTTCCAGAGATTGAATTATGCACAGTACGAGCTCCTGTCATTCCTCGTGGTTCATCCATTCAGTTTCAATAAAAATTTAGAAATTATTGATTGAGCAAATACTGTCCTCCAAGTATATAGCCCGGGGCAGCGTAGGCCCCTTGCCCACTGGCCTGAGGCCTGCAGCCCTGGGGTCTGGTCTTCCATCTACCCTCTGCTTTGGTGCTTACATTTACTCCAGACTTAGCTGATTTTTGTTTTGTTTTTGTTTTAAGTTGGGGTTTTGTTATACTCTACAATCATCTGCCTAGCAGAGGAAGCTGAGAAACACTCTCTCTCTCTCTCTCACACACACACACACACACACACACACACCCTTGAGATGAGAAACATGGGGAATGAGACAAAGAAAGCCATGCAAATGTGCTTCCTGGCATGTGAATAGAAAGAGCTCGCAAATGCCTGTTTATTAGAAAACATGTAGAATACAGCACCCAAAACGGAGGAGAGTGTGGACTTCCATCTTAAGATTGAGTATAACTGTTGCTGCCTACCACTGGCCTCTGAAATAATTGGAATTATTATTCTAAGTAATTTCACAATCAAAATCAAGATACTCCTTTCAGAACCACAGTGAGATGCCCCTTATAGGCCTCACTAGAGTCAGTATTCTCAATAAAACGGAAAATACCGGGACCCCTGGCAGGCTCAGTCACTAGGGCATGTGACTCTTAATCTCGGAGTCATGAGTTTGAGCCCCATGTTGGGTATAGAGATTACTTTAGAAAACAAAACAACACCACAGAAAATACCGAGTGCAGGCAAGGTTGTGACAAAATTTGAACCCTTTTTTATTGCTTGTGGGAGTGTAAAATGTAGCCCCTGAGGACAACAGAATGGAGTTTTCTCAAAAAATGAAAAATAGAATCACTTATGAATGATCATATAGAATTATCGTATCCTATTAGCAGTTCCACTTCTGGATATTTATCCAAAATAATCCAAAGCAGAAATTCTGAGCGATATTTGTACACCCATGTTCATAGTAGCAGTGTTCTCAGGAGTCAAAACGTGGAAGCAGTCCCCATGTCCTTAGGTAGATGAATGGATGAACAAAGTGTGGTATGTTCACGCAGTGGACTATTATTACTCAGCCTTAAAAGGGAAGGAAACTTTGGCATGAGCTACAGCATAGATGAACCTTGGGGACATTATGTTAAATGAAATAAACCTGTCACAAAAGGACAAATACTGTATGATTCTGCTTATATGAGGTACCTAAGTAGTCATTTTGATGGAGACAGGAAGTAGAATGGTGTTTGCCAAGGGGCTGGAGGGAGGGATGGAGAGTTAGTGTTTAATGGGTACAGAGTTCCAGCTGGAATAATAAAAAGAGTTCTGGAGATGGATGGTGGGGATAGCTACACAACAATGTGAATATATTTAAATACTCCTGAACTGGTCACTTAGAAATGATTAAGGTGGTAAATTTTGTGTTATGTGTATTTTACCACAATTTAAAAATCTTTAATAGCTCTCCTATCCCTGATGCTTCTGTGCTTTGCTTTTTTTTTTAATTGAAGAATAATTGACATACAGTATTGTATTAGATTCAGGTGTACATCGCAGTGATTCCATATTGATATACATTATGAAATGGTCAGCATAATACATCCAGTTCACCTTTTAATCCCCTCCACCTATTTTGTCCATTTAAGAAAAATTTTTTTTTAAACCTCCTTCTTTTCAGGAAAAATGGAAAGACATTTTCAGCACATTCAATCCCTGTATTTAACAATTCCCTCTGGCTACTATGACTTAAGTGATTACAGTAGAAAATAAATGAGTTGAAATTCCCAAGTTTTATATTTTGGTTGTACCCATCTCTGAAATGGGCCAAACGAGATTAGTTAGCAGAAATGATGGGCGTTGTCTGTAAAGTACTTTCATGTCCTTGGATGAAAGGATTGAGGAACATGTCCCGCATTATTTTTAATGCTTCTTAATAAGAAATGGTTGTATGCTTGTGTACATAAAAGAACTGTATAAATAAAGAAGTAACGTTAGATGATTCTTGGCTCTGCCACTAATGTTTTGGAAGCACATCTGAGCAAAGACTAAATACACCTTGACATCACCAGGTCTTGGTTCTCTTCCATAACTTCCCACCCTACTTTTGAGCACGCTCAAGGTGCGTGCATCCTGCAGAGACTGTGCTTACAAAACAGTACTAAGCTTTGTATCCATGTAGATAATGATCACCAACCATTGTAAACACAGAATCTTTATTTTCTCACTTTATGTGCCTTTGCCTCTAAGGCACAGTGTTGGTTGATGAAAGCGAGTCTTGAGAGATGTGCAGAATGTGTAAAGGGTCCCAGGAAATCTTGCAGGAGGCAGCCAGGGGTGGAACCTTTAAGAGCGCTGACCGAGTGTCAATACGACCCACATTTTTATTCCAAGTCTGTCTCAACAAGTGTGTGACCTTGATGATGTCACTTGGCCTCCAAGCTCCACTGTCCTTGTCCTTAAACCAGGTCTAGTAATTACTGCCTCACAGATTCGTCGTGAAAATTTAACGGGATGAGAAAATGTTGGTGGCCCAATGCCCTGCTCTTAGGAATGCTACGTAAGTAGTACCTAGTATTACTAAGGATCAGGGCACTAGCCTTTCCAGTATTATTGTTACTTAATTAAAAACAGGAACAGAGGGCTCCTGGGTGGCTCAGATGGTTAAGCGTCCGCCTTCGGCTCAGGTCATGATCTCAGGGTCCTGGGATCGAGTCCCGCATCGGGCTCCCTGCTCCTTGGGAGCCTGCTTCTCCCTCTGCCTTTCTCTCTC